ACACATACTACCTTTTTTGTTAGTTTACTTTAATTCAATGAGACAAGTTTGAACTTTTAGTTAAGATCATCCCTTGTAAAGGTCTGTTTTTGTCATCATTATAAGTACTACGGTACTTACTTACTTGACAGCATTATGCTTTTCTGCACTTACTGTCTGACTTGTGAGTAAGTTTCCAGATCTTCCTGCATGAATCCCGCTAAATGCTGTTTGATGATTATCAGACAAGACTTTTTTATACCTTGTTTCCCGAACTTTTAAAGATCTTCAGACTCGGAGGAGGGTGGGAAAAAATTATGTTTTCTTACTTAGCAAATGGTTTTGCCAAAAACATCTAAGATGGAGAAGAAAATAGAAATAAAATTTTATTAGTATTTGATATGTAGTAATGGGATGGTTTTATTTTTGATTTTTGGAGATTTCAAGACAGTGGTGGGCATAATAAAAATAAAGAAAATTTTTTAAAAATTTCAATTTTTTGGTGGTAGCGGGTGCGCTAAATGACCAAAAACAACATTTTATTTTTATTTGCAATCATTATTGGCGGCAGTGAGTTCAATAAACAAGGTATAAAAAAGTCTTGCCTAATATGTATTATAAGTCAATCATGACGTCATCACTGCAACTCCCAGTGTTATTTGCCTATCCCCCACAGTCCACTAATTTTCCAATTAGTGAACGCTTTGTTTGATTTTTTTAAGTTCGTGTGCAAAAAAAAAAAAAAATTCCTAATTTTTTTGTCATTGCAAATATATCGCGCACCGCGATAAAAATGGAATTGTAATTGAAAATTACTTTCATAAAGCAAGGTTAATTAGAACCCGAAGAAAGTTACTTTAAATTCAGTATTAAGTATGAACAATTAAGCAGTTCCTTGAATCAGTGAACCCTATAAACTAAACAAATGAACGTTTAATAGGAATATTCTAGACCTATTTTAAAGACTCCAGGAACAAAATTAGATGTAGGCCTAAGGCCAAGCAGCAGGCCGCCGAGGCCTCCTCCTACCAGCTACTAGCCTAGGCTATATAGCCTAGCGTAGTTATGAAATCATCCCAAGATTGTTACCTGTCTGCACCGATCAAAAAGTTAGTGACAGTGACTATATTCTCTCTCAAATGTTTTGAAAAATGACGAATGTGAAAAATTACAAACAAGTTCTTCTAACACAGTACAAATTACAAAATAGCCTAGTTATTCATCGTATCCATACAGTACTGCTAATGTGTAGTTAACGCGTAGGAGCACAAATCAGCACACGCACGAAATATTAATATGCACACAGTATACTGATCATAACACTATAGCAACCGATGACTGGTACAACACAGTCAGTTATAAAAACAAACATTAAAAGACGGCGATTGACTTATAGAGCAATTAGTATTTATTTATTCTTTCTTTATACTGAATAAACACTTTTAATACATAGTACTAGTTTCCAAAGTGGTTTAGTTCTTAACTACAAAATTTAGAAGCAGATATATAAACATTGAAACCAAATTAAAATATTGATAACTTAACTACAAATTAAAAAGATTTAAAATGAATATTGAAAGAAACTTAAGAAAATAAAAAATTTAAATAATAAATATGGATATGCAAGGTAAAAGAAAATCAGGTTAAATGAAGATGGTATTATTGAGGATTTGAAATAGAATGCTTAAAATTTTGAAGTGTCATAGACTTAAATTTGTTTTTAATATGATCCGGGAGTTTATTCCATAATTTAGTAGATCGGTATACAAAAGTTCTTTTATCTTGCATATTATTTTCAGGTGTATTCAAGAAGTGTATTATTACTTTGACTGCGAGTACAATGCATATACAAACCATAATTAAAAACAAAATTTTTTGATAAATATGATGGAGCAAGACCATTTAAACATTTGAAAATCATTATGAGCAATTGTTCGTCCCATTGATCACTGAGTTTGCACCACCCTAATAAACTTAAAATATTTACAACTGGGGTTTTTATGTCTGCAGAAAGTAAAATTTTTCCTAATCTGTTTAAAATAATTTGAAGTGAATTTGAAAGTTTAATATTACAGTTGGACCAAACACAATTACAGTAATCAAAAAGAGGTATAACTAGAGCGTTAGCCAACGTCTTAAGAGTATTATGGGGTAAAAAATATTTAACACAGTGGATAACACCAATGCATTTAGAGATGTTACCAGTTAATTTTGCAATATGTTCAGACCATGTTAATTTAGAATCAAACACAACTCCAAAATATTTGAATGAATCAATTCTGTCAATAGTCATGCCATTATAAAATAATGAAATATTTGAAAATTTAGGTAAAATTGCATTGGTTCCAAAGATCATAAATTTAGTTTTCTTAATATTTAATGTAAGTTAATTTTTATCAAACCATTTGGCAACTTTGATTAAATTTGAATTTAGTTCATTTTGGAGAAGAGTGGGATCGGAAGAATTGCATAAAATGGTAGTATCGTAAATATATGGTAGTATCGTATAAAATTATTATACTTAAGTTAGATTTAATGCATTCAAAAATTTCATTTGGGCCTTGCAGGCCCTCAGGCAATTTTTTCAAGCATTAAATCTAACCTTTGTATAATAATTCTCCTATAGTGTACTATGCGCAGCTCTACTAATTTCTTATTACGTTTTTAACATAATGTATTTTTTTTAATATGTAAATTAATGTAATTTCTTTTACTTTTTACCACAATGGAATTTAGAATTGTACATTAATATTGTATACAGTATTCATACAGAAATCAATTTATAAATTGCATACTTCTTTCAGGAATCATTCTTGACTGTTTTTGCTCCCTGGTTTCTAAGCATCTACAGTATAGATGTAAATTTGGTCTGCTCTTTGCCGGAACAATAAATAAGATAAAGCTTTAATCTATTTTTTTTTTCTTTGTTTAGGTACTGTAATAGGAAATCAGTTGGTTAACTGCAATATTAAAGACTCATCTATTAATATTGTTCATAATACAATTCAGTTACCTGTTACACAAGGTATGCATTCTGCATATTATATGCTTAAAGTGGTGGTTCATTTACTGACTATTATTGGGTAACTACTTTAATCATATGAATTTTAAATGTGCTTGACATAAACTCAACAACCTGAATTTTCATTACCACTTTTTATAATAATAAGACATACAGTACATGATTTACAGTAGCTATGCAGATATATGTGGTCACCAAACAAGAATTATTATTATGAGGCTATCATTCCAAAATCAGTATCCATGGCCAAGGCAGAAAATTGAATTTTTGAATACTATGTTTCAATGTATTCTGCACATTTTAATGCTGATGATACGGTAACATATTGCGACTGGGCGCTCATTTTGAGATGGCAAGCCTACTTTTGTTGAAATTACAAGCACTGAAAAAAGTGGCACTGGTAAAATGGTTGTGCAGTATTGAATTATGTATGTTCTAAAACAGGATGTCACAAACAGTTACCCCAACCATAGTTCTATTTACAGTAGATTTGAGACATGATGGTTATTGAGATAGGCAGAATGGAATTTCACTCTACATAACATTCTAAAAGTAATTGTGACTGTAGGATAAATAGAAGGTTGGGGACTCCATTACAGTAAAGGGCAGAACTTTTGTTAGGACCACTATAAATTAATAGATTTTATATTCATTTAATTCCACTTACTGTAGTCTTTACTTTTTCATTGCTGTCTCCAGTTTATCACACACTTGATGATAGATGGAACAAGAAAAGATTCCCACAAAAAAAGCTATATATTAGGCCTATACTTCATGTTTTGCAAACGCTTTGTTCCAACTGTTGGAGGAGATTTTATTATGATGATGACAAATATTGCTATTTATTATTCACATGGTCTTAATAATAATAATGAGACAAGACATTCTAGTGTGTGATTCTAACACATTATTCTCATTTTCATCTTCATTTATTTTTCATTGTTTCATTGTATTTGGTCTGCTCTATGAACTATTGTTGAATTGCATTAAAGGTATACTATCTGTCAAAAAAAACAAAACAAAACATTACAAATTTGATCAAAATTTTAAAAGTTTTTATAAATAATTCATTTGTATTTTCCAGTGAATTTTTTTATCGCATTAACAGCTGATTTTCTGTAACGCGGCTCGCTGACTGTTGTTGAGGGCTTGTGACTGTGTTGAGATTGTGTTGTCTGCTTGGCCTACCTGCAGGGGCAGAGAAAAAAAAGGAGTAAAAATAGGCACAATGTGGCCAACAGTCATCGTCGACTGACAATTACTGTAATCAAATTCAATATGAAAGATGGATAGTGATCAAGTCAAAACAACTAAAAATAATTGCGAGGTCGTGAAGTTTTTGCTAACCTAGGCAGGCCTACCTAGTGTAGACCTCCTAGCCTAGAAGGTGACCTGTGGCCGAGTAGACTTGTGGCCGAGTTGACTTGTGGCCAGGTCGACCTGCTTCCGACTGTCTGTATCATCTCATCTCTGGTGGGCAGCCTGTGTATGTATGTAGATAGGGCCGGCATAAGCCCACTTAGCTAGGGTAGGCCTAGAATTTTTATAGGCCCATATAAATTAACTTTAATTTTGGCTGTCTCCTTACCAAATTGTAGGGCCTATTTTTAATATTATATACTGTCTAGAGTCGTGCTCAGATCATGCAAGCTTGCTATTATTATTATTCTAAATTAATGTCATGCCAAGGACAGTGAACTATATACAGTACATACAGTAGACAGGAAATGTTACTGGATTGTCTGGTCTGATTGACTACTTTTATGAGAGGTTATATATTTCCAATTGGAATTAAAATTTATCCAAGTGGGCTTAGTATGTAAATAATCTCAACTGCAATTTACTGTTGTGAAAGTGTATAAATCCTATTCAAATGGTTTGTTTCATGCACCTGTATTTTGAAAAGAACAGTAATAAATATCAACTATATATCCACTGTACTATTTATGTCCAATGAAACAAGGTATTTATTTAAACATTAACTTCAGCATAATCAGAAGACTTCAACAGAAATTATGTTATTTATACCATTTTTGAAATCAAGTTTGAATGTATACAGTACAATCAAAAAGAAATTACAAAATTCCATACAGCTTGAAACTACACACCTGTAGTGCAAATTCTACTTATTTTTTTACAGTATCAAGAAATTTAAAATGGGTATGTCTTATAATTAGCTGGAAACCAGAATACTGCTTTAATGGGTTGGGGTATCTGTCCCAGATTCTTTTGACTCAGTAACTGGGAATTAACCTCATGATATACCATGTTGCCATAAAATAAACTGATGACATGCTGCATTTATCTATTTCCACTGTCTCCAGTGCAGAATTGCAAGTATATGCCATCATGTCGGGATTCAATATTTCAACATTAATTATGTCATCAATCTGCCATTTATGATTGTCCAAGTTGAAAACACAATGTAACCTGGCAGTACAGGGCAAAAATGATTTTATTTTATTCAGAAAAACCAATAAAAACCACCAAACATTTTGACTCAATCAAACTAGGCAGGCCAGCTTAGGCCTGTAGAAGCTTGGCCTATTATACCTAGGCAATGCTGATAATATTAATAAAACGTAAGAATAATCCAACCCAAGCTACAATGAGGATTCCTGCATGCTGTACATGGTACAAAGTCACCACACCATGGAGTTTTATATGGACGCGCCGGTGTACAAACCACTTTGTTCAGTTATGAGACCTTTTAAAGCTGTTTCGTCTACGATATGAGACATGGCCAATAAATATTCACCGATTTCTACCTTTGCAATAATGGGCAATTAAAAACATCGAAATACTAATAAAACAAGGTAACAGCCTCGCCCTCTACTAGTTTTTCAGGCCCAACTTCCACAACGATTTCTTCCAACGAGTTGCGGCGTTGAGTTTGTGGTCACCATCAAAAATACTATTTCTAGTATCTTTGGTCACCATCCACAGCAAGCACACATCGGTCATGATGACTTCCGATTTGGCCTCGCTCATACGTGTCAAGAGAAGGCAGGACTCTTGACGCAATCTCAAGCAACAAGCAAATTTTGTAATGCGAATGTGCTAAATTTAAACATTTTTTGGCTGTTCAAAATAATTAACAGCATTTTCATACCCAACTACTTTGTTAATTGGGTATTCGGGGGTCATTTTTGATACGGTTGATTATATAAACAAATTGATCAATTCAAATTTTGATTTTAAGCAAAAAAATATTGATTTTGACAGATAGTATAATGAATATATTTTATTTCACAGTTTTTTTCATTAAATGAATTTCTATTAATAATCTGATTAGTAATCTCTAGAAATTGTTATAATCTACTCAATTTCAAAAAATGTTTTTAGAATACATTTTTTGTAGCTTTCATTGGACAATACTTCTTTAAAGTTTGTAAAAATATTTAAGCTTTAAAATCATTAAATATATAAGAAAAAAGACCGAAAATAGTTCTCTGGAGCTCTTGCAGTACATACTATGCTATTTAAACTCTGCTGTCTCTTCTGAAATGCTTCACACTTACAACATACAGTAGTTTACCTGGTATACAATATGGCATACAAGAAAACAATTATTGTGATTTTTACAGGAGTTGTAGTGTTTGTATTTTCACATTGAATTTGATGAAGTATAATATTTATTATATTAGTATGATGGAAATACAAATAAATCAACAATAAATGTATACATTTGTATATACAGTATCTCTAGATGTCATGAAGTTAAGCATAACTTCCTCCACAAGAATTGCTAATAACAACCATTAGACGATGTATTTACATGACAAACAACCCAATCTGTTATTCCACTTCCATATTTAATGTCATTTTTTGTTGGATTTTTCTTTACAGACAATGCATCAAGAGAAACATGTGAAGGTACGTACTGTACTTACTGAAAAATATTTGTCAGTTGTTGTTGTTGCCAATATCACTGCAGAGTCCTAAGTTGGAAGAAGTAATTTCCGGGAGATCTAATGTGGCTGATATAGGAATTTTGAAATAAGGGTGGGAGTGGGGGTAGGGGTGGAGGGAGGGACTTTCACAGATGTAGGGTAGGCCTACCTCTTGAGCCCCACCATGATTACGTTACCACTAAATTGCCGCAAATGACACTCTCTTTGTTATTTATTTATTTCATTTTTTTATACTGGGAAAACCTTTTCAGTAGCATATCTACTGTTCTCCCACAGTTCCCAGTACAAAAAGTCAACAATAACATTCACAATTCATAAAAATGAGCAACATACATAAACCAGAAAAAATACATCCAGATCATAATATTTTTAAAATTGTTAAAATAATATAAGATCAATACGAACATTTATAAATATTTAGAGAATTTTATATATTACTGCACACCTTGATCTATTGGCAGTGCCTTTCATGAAACAATTGATGATGAAATATTTAAAACATGCAAATATTATGAATTTCCCAGAGAACCTTGCTTGCTTACTGGAATGCGGAAGGTCATCCCGATTTTTTTTAGACTTGGCACCCCTGTCATTTACAAACGGCTGTGTTTTTAGTGCTAACATTATCAGTAGTAATAGTATCATTTTTATAATTATGAATACGTCTCGTTATGTCAAGTTGAAAGTGCTCTGAAATATGTCTGTATAGTGCTAAATAGCTGATCCTTCCAGTTAATATACAGACCCTCTCAAATAAATGAAATAATATGATGCTGTATTCTTGTTTTTTTTTTTTTTATTCTTTTTACAAGGCTTATATGTTGTCGATTTGTTAGCTATTAAGGACAGATCCTGATTAAAAATAACTGATTATTTTCAGATGATCTTATCAAACATTTTTTACTAAGTACTCAACAGCAATTATGCCGTAATGCCACCCGGTTCACACCAGGAACTTTAAATACTAGATATCAAGTAGACATTGCTCACATGTTCACTGATCTGGACCTACTCAAGGAAAATGAAAAGAAGCAAGATGTCAAGCCAATAACTTTGAAGGAGGTTTTAAATATTATCAAATCCTCGCCTACATGTAAAGTTCTAATTGAAGGTGAGGGCGGTATTGGTAAATCAACTCTTCTCAGGTACATAGCTCACAAGTGGGCCACAGATGAATCAGATGAAACCTTCAAAGGTAAAATATTGTTTCTTGTCAACATATCCTCTATTGACAAAGGTGAAACTATTTTGGATGGTATTTTAAAACAAATAGATTTAGAGGATTTTCATCTTGAAACAAACCTTTGTCAAGATCCTGTATTAATTAAACGATTTATTAGGAACCAAGATAATGACATTGTATTGTTGTTGGATGGGTTAGATGAATTGAAAGAGGGTAGTACGAGTCCAATAAGCTTATTCAAAAGACAGAAATTGCCAAAATGTAAAGTATTACTTACATCAAGATCTGACAAAAAAATATATGAGTTTGTTAAAGAGAGCAGCATACATGTGAAAGTGAAAGGATTCAGTGAAGAGAATATAACAAATTACATTACAAAACATTTTGAGTATTTTGAAAAACCTGCATTTGGAGACTCACTTGTGGAAGAGTTGAAACTTTATTCAGGGTTTAAGTGTAAACATGAGGAAATCAAATCAATGTGTAGGAATCCAATGTTGCTTCTGTCTGTATGTGTTATGTGGGAAGAAAAGCAACACCTTTCAACTGATAAAGCTGATCTCTTTAAACAGGTTTTTAAAACTATCTTGAATCAGTTCATTGACAAACAAACAAATAAAGAGCAAAAAATCTCAATATTCAGAAATATTCCACAGAAGTATGTTGAACTGATGCTTCTGTTAGGGAAGTGTATGTATAATGGCCTAAAGAGAAACCAACTTTCAATAAACAAGACCGATTTGGAAGGAAGAGAAGAAATGGTTGCCTTAACTTTAAAACTGGGGTTTGTGTACAAAGATGCACAAAATCTAAAATCTAATTTTGAAGAGATTTTTACAGCTCCTCACAAGTTAATAGTAGAGTCATTGGTAGGATTTTACTTATGTAAATTATGTCAGGCAACAGGATTGGAGAGTGAATGTAGAGCAAAGGATATGAAAGGGTTACTTCAGCCATTGGATGATAATGAATGGAAGATTATAAGAGAAAGTGAAAACTTAAGCATTGCAAGAGAGTTTGCAATTGGATTTCTTGGTACTGATGCAGGCATATTTTTAAGTCATTGGATAACCAATAGTATCTTGACATATCGCTCTTTAATGGCATATTTTGAATTTGTAAAAATAGAGCACAGGAGTACTGTAAAAGAGACATTAATCAATCATATGACTAAGAAAAATCTAGAAATAATGCCACATATACATGACATATGTAAATCACTAAGAAAATGTAACCATTACATCATTCCTGATATAGACATTCAAAACCAGCATTTCATCGAGATTATGCAACAATTTCATAATATGAAATTAGGATCTTGCAGTGAAATTGATGTGAATACTCACATTATTTTGTTTTGTAAAGAAATGGCATTGGAAGAAAAATTCAGTGTGATTGTCCACATATTAATTGCTGTGCCAAATCAAAAACAGATTTTGGAAAAAATAAGTGAGATATGTGTTAATGATGATTTTAAATACTTAACAGATGAATGTCAGAAATTGGGTTTCAAATATGATATATCAGATTTAGAGTTGTCTAACACAAGTACTGCTTCATGTATAGTTCACCTGCTTAATAGCGCACCCCAACTTGAATATTTGTCGTGCTCTTTCAATAGTATTACAGGTGGTATCATGAATGATGCAATAAGAGAGTGTTGTAGTAGAGGAGTTAAGTTAGAATTAAAGCAGCTTCATATCAGTGATAATAATCTCAGCAACATTGATGGTTCATCATTAGCATCTTTATTGGTTATTGCTCCTACACTGAGTAGTCTCACATTGGTCGATTGCAGTCTATCAGGTGCTATTATCAATGATATGATCAGGGAGTGTTGTAGCAAAGGAGTCAAGCTCGAATTAAAGGATATTGATATCAGTGATAATAATCTTAGCAACATTGATGGTTCATTATTTGCATCTTTATTTGTTATTGCTCCTACACTGAGTAATCTTGAAATGAGCAATTGCAGCTTATCAGGTGCCATTGTGAATGATATGATGAGAGAATGTTGTAGTAAAAAAGTCAAGTTAGAATTAAAGCAGCTTGATATCAGTGATAATAATCTCAGCAACATTAATGGTTCTTTATTTGTATCATTATTGGGAATTACTTCTAATCTTAAATCTCTATCAATGAGTAATGGCAGTTCATCTTGTGAAGTCTGTAATCCACATTACTTGTATATCAGTGGTAATACTCTCATCAATATTGATGGTCCCTTATTGGCAGCTTTACTAATTACTTTTAAACTAAATAGTCTCACATTGAATAATTGCAGGCTATTAGGTGCTATTATGAATGATATGATGAGAGAATGTTGTAGTAAAGGAGTCAAGTTAGAATTAATGCAGCTTCATATCAGTGATAATGATCTCAGCAATATTGATGGTTTATCATTAGCATCTTTATTGGTTATTGCTCCTTCACTGAGTAATCTGGAAATAAGTAATTGCAGTTTATCAGGTACCATTGTGAATGATATGGTGAGAGAGTGTTGTAGTAAAGAAGTCAAGTTAGAATTAAAGCAGCTTGATATCAGTGATAATAATCTCAGCAATATTGATGGTTCATCATTAGCATCTTTATTGGTTATTGCTTCTACGCTGAGAAATCTCAAAATGATAAATTGCTGTTTTTCAGGCTCTATAATGAATGATATGATAAGAGAATGTTGTAGTAAAGGAGTCAATTTAGAATTAAAGCAGCTTGATATCAGTAGTAATAATCTCAGTAACATTGATGGTTCTTTATTTGTATCATTATTGGGAATTGCTTCTAAACTTGAATGTCTAATAATGAAGAATGGTAGTTCAAGTTGTTACGTCTATGATCTAGATTCCGTTCATATCAGTGGTAATAATCTCATCAATATTGATGGCTCCACATTAGCAGCTTTATTAAGTACTTTAAAACTGAATTACCTTACATTGAATGATTGCAATCTATCAGGAGCTATTATTAATTATATGATCAAAATATGCTGTGAAAGAGGAGTCAAGGTAGAAATAAAGGAGATTGATATCAGTGATAATAATCTCAGAAACATTGATGGTTCATTGTTTGCATCTTTATTCGTTATTGCCCCTATACTGAGTAATCTCAAAATGATAAATTGCAGTCTATCAGGCACTATTATGAATGATATAATGAGAGAGTGTTGTGGAAGAGGAGTCAAGTTAGAATTAAAGGAGTTTGTTATCAGTGGTAATAATCTCAGCAATATTGATGGTTCATTATTTGCATCTTTATTAGTTAATGTTCCTAAATTGAGTAATCTCAAAATGAGAAATTGCAGTCTATCAGGGACTATTATGAATGATATAATGAGAGAGTGTTGTGGAAGAGGAGTCAAGTTAGAATTAAAGGAGTTTGTTATCAGTGGTAATAATCTCAGCAACATCGATGGTTCATTATTTGCATCTTTATTAGTTAATGCCCCTACACTGTTTAATCTCAAAATGAAAAATTGCAGTCTATCAGGCACCATTATGAATGATATGATGAGAGAGTGTTGTGAAAGAGGAGTCAAGTTAGAATTAATGGAACTTGACATCAGTGATAATAATCTCAGCAACATTGATGGCTCTTTATTTGTATCATTATTGGGAATTACTTCTAATCTTAAATCTCTATCAATGAGTAATGACAGTTCATCGTGTAAAGTCACTAGAGGGCCACTATATGATAATTTTCTTGGGTATAACCATGAGCTTCATTTCAATAGTAATAATCTACATAAACTTGAAATCAGTGGTAATAATCTACTTGACGTTGATATCAGTGGTAAAACTCTAATCAATATTAATGGCTTCTTATTGGCAACTTTATTAATTACTTCTGAATTGAAAAGCCTTACATTGAATAATTGCAGTTTGTCAGGTGCTATTATGAATGATATGATGAGAGAGTGTAGTAGTAAAGGATTCAAGTTAGAATTATTGCAGCTTAATATAATTGATAATGATCTCAGCAACATTGATGGCTCTTTATTTGTATCATTATTGGGAATTGCTTCTAAACTTCAATCTCTATCAATGAGTAATGATAGTTCTTCATGTAAAGTCTATAATCTACATGATCTTTGTAACAGTGATAATGATCTATATGATCTTTACATTAGAGGCAATACTCTCATCAATATTGATGGCTCCATATTGGTAGCTTTATTAAGTACCATTAAACTGAATAAGCTTATATTGCATAATTGCAGTCGATCAGGTGCTATTATGAATGTTATGGTGAAAGATTGTTGTAGTAAAGGAGTCAAGTTAGAATTAAGAAAGCTTGATATCAATGATAATACGCTCCGCACCATTAATTGTTCTTCATTTGTATCATTATTGGAAATGACTTCTAAACTTGAATATCTATCAATCAGTAATGGCATTTCATCGTGTGAAGTCCATAATCTACATGACATTAATATCAGTGGTACTCTCATCAGAATTAATGGCTCCTTATTGGCAGCTTTATTAATTACGTTTAAACTGAATAGCCTTACATTGAATAATTGCTGTTTATCAGGTGCTATTATGAATGATATGATGAGAGAGTGTAGTAGTAAAGGAGTCAAGTTGAATTTAAAGATGCTTGACATCAGTGATAATGATCTCAGCAACAGTGATGGTTCATTATTTGCATCTTTATTGGTTATTGCTCCTACACTGAGTAATCTCAAAATAACTAATTGCAGTTTATCAGGTGCCATTGTGAATGATATGGTGAGAGAGTGTCGTAGTAAAGGAGTCAAGTTAGAATTAAAGCAGCTTGATATCAGTAGAAAAAATCTTCGCAATATTGATGGTTCATCATTAGCATCTTTATTGGTTATTGCTCCTACACTATGTAATCTCAAAATGATGAATTACATTGATGGTTCATTATTTGCATCTTTATTGGTTATTGCTCCTACACTGAGTAATCTGGAAATAAGTAATTGCAGTTTATCAGGTGCTATTGTGAATGATATGATGAGAGAGTGTTGTGGAAGAGGAGTCAAGTTAGAATTAATGGAACTTGATATCATTGGTAATAATCTCAGCAACATTGATGGCTCTTTATTTTTATCATTATTGGGAATTACTTCTAATCTTAAATCTCTATCAATGAGTAATGGCAGTTCATCATGTAAAGTCACTGGAGGGCCACTATATGATAATTTTCATGGGTATAACCATGAGCTTCGTTTCAATAGTAATAATCTACATAAACTTGAAATCAGTGGTAATACTCTAATCAATATTAATGGCTTCTCATTGGCAGCTTTATTAATTACTTCTAAATTGACAAGCCTTACATTGAATAATTGCAGTTTGTCAGGTGCTATTATGAATGATATGATGAGAGAGTGTAGTAGTAAAGGAGTCAAGTTAGAATTAATACAGCTTGATATCAGTGATAATGATCTCAGCAATATTGATGGTTCTTTATTTGTATCATTATTGGAAATTACTTCTAATCTTAAATCTCTATCAATGAGTAATGACAGTTCATCATGTAAAGTCACTGGAGGGCCACTATATGATAATTTTCTTGGGTATAACCATGAGCTTCATTTCAATAGTAGTAATCTACATAAACTTGAAATCAGCGGTAATACTCTAATCAATATTAATGGCTTGACATTGGCAGCTTTATTAATTACTTCTAAATTGAAAAGCCTTACATTGAGTAATTGCAGTTTGTCAGGTGCTATTATGAATGATATGATGAGAGAGTGTAGTAGTAAAGGAGTCAAGTTAGAATTAATACAGCTTGATATCAGTGATAATGATCTCAGCAATATTGATGGTTCTTTATTTGTATCATTATTGGAAATTACTTCTAATCTTAAATCTCTATCAATGAGTAATGACAGTTCATCATGTAATGTCAGTAGAGAGCCACGACATAATAATTTCCTCCGTCAGTATAAGCATGAGCTTTGTTTCAATAGTAATAATCTACATGACCTTGAAATCAGTGGTAAAAATCTAATCAATATTAATGGCTTCTCATTGGCAGCTTTATTAATTACTTCTAAATTGAAAAGCCCTAAATTTAACAATTGCAGTTTGTCAGGTGCTATTATGAATAATATGATGAGAGAGTGTTGTAGTAAAGGAGTCAAGCTAGATTTAAAGAAGCTTGATATCAGTGATAATGATCTCAGCAATATTGATGGTTCATCATTAGCATCTTTATTGGTTATTGCTCCTACACTGAGTAATCTCGAAGTGAAGAATTGCAGTTTATCAGGTGTCATTGTGAATGATATGATGCGAGAGTGTTGTCATAAAGGAGTCAAGTTAGAATTAAAGGAGATTGATATCAGTGATAATGATCTCAGCAATATTGATGGTTCCTCATTAGCATCTTTATTGGTTATTGCTCCTACACTGAGTAATCTCAAAGTGAAGAATTGCAGTTTATCAGGTGTCATTGTAAATGATATGATGCGAGAGTGTTGTCGTAAAGGAGTCAAGTTAGAATTAAAGGAGATTGATATCAGTGATAATAATATCAGCAATATTGATGGATCTTTATTTGTATCATTATTGGGAATTGCCTCTAATCTTAATTTTCTATCAATGAGTAATGGGAGTTTATCATGTAAAGTCACTTTAGGGTCACTATATGATAATTTTTTTGGGTATAACCATGACCTTAAAATCAGTGGTAATACTCTAATCAACATTAATGGCTTCTCATTGGCAGCTTTATTAATTACTTCTAAATTGACAAGCCTTACATTGCATAATTGCAGTTTGTCAGGTGCTATTATGAATGATATGATGAGAGAGTGTTGTAGTAAAGGAGTCAAGTTAGAATTATTGCAGCTTAATATAATTGATAATAATCTCAGCAACATTGATGGCTCTTTATTTGTATCATTATTGGGAATTGCTTCTAAACTTCAATCTCTATCAATGAGTAATGGTAGTTCATCAAGTAAAGTCACTGGAAGGCCACTATATAATAATTTTCTTGGGTATAAGGATGAGCTTCGTTTCAATAGTAATAATCTACATGACCTTGAAATCAGTGGTAATACTCTAATCAATATTAATGGCTCCTCATTGGCAGCTTTATTAATTACTTCTAAATTGACAAGCCTTACATTGCATAATTGCAGTTTGTCAGGTGCTTTTATGAATGATACGATGAGAGAGTGTAGTAGTAAAGGAGTCAAGTTAGAATTATTGCAGCTTAATATAATTGATAATAATCTCAGCAACATTGATGGCTCTTTATTTGTATCATTATTGGGAATTGCTTCTAAACTTCAATCTCTATCAGTGAGTAATGGTAGTTCATCATGTAAAGTCACTGGAAGGCCACTTTATAATAATTTTCTTGGGTATAACCATGAGCTTCGTTTCAATAGTAATAATCTACATGACCTTGAAATCAGTGGTAATAATATAATCAATATTAATGGCTTCTCATTGGTAGCTTTATTAATTACTTTTAAATTGAAAAGCCTTACATTGAATAATTGCAGTTTGTCAGGTGCTATTATGAATGATATGATGAGAGAGTGTAGTAGTAAAGGAGTCAAGTTAGATTTAAATAAGCTTGATATCAGTGATAATGATCTCAGCAATATTGATGGTTCATCATTAGCATCTTTATTGGTTATTGCTCCTACACTGAGTAATCTCAAAGTGAGTAATTGCAGTTTATCAGGTGTCATTGTGAATGATATGATGAGAGAGTGTTGTCGTAAAGGAGTCAAGTTAAAATTAAAGGAGATTGATTTCAGTGATAATAATATCAGCAATATTGATGGCTCTTTATTTGTATCATTATTGGGAATTACTTCTAAACTTCAATCTCTATCAATGAGTAATGGCAGTTTATCATGTAAAGTCACTGGAGGGCCACTCTATGATCATTTTCTTGGGTATAAACATGAGCTTCGTTTAAATAGTAATAATCTACATAAACTTGAAATCAGTGGTAATACTCTAATCAATATTAATGGCTTGACATTGGCAGCTTTATTAATTACTTCTAAATTGAAAAGCCTTACATTGAATAATTGCAGTTTGTCAGGTGCTATTATGAATAATATGATGAGAGAGTGTTGTAGTAAAAGAGTCAAGTTAGATTTAAAGAAGCTTGATATCAGTGATAATGATCTTAGCAATATTGATGGTTCATCATTAGCATCTTTATTGGTTATTGCTCCTACACTGAGTAATCTCAAAGTGAGTAATTGCAGTTTATCAGGTGTCATTGTGAATGATATGATGCAAGAGTGTTGTCGTAAAGGAGTCAAGTTAGAATTAAAGGAGATTGATATCAGTGATAATAATATCAGCAATATTGATGGTTCTTTATTTGTATCATTATTGGGAATTGCTTCTAATCTTAATTCTCTATCAATGAGTAATGGCAGTTTATCATGTAAAGTCACTTCAGGGTCACTATATAATCATTTTTTTGGGTATAACCATGAGCTTAAAATCAGTGGTAATATTCTAATCAACATTAATGGCTCCTCATTGGCAGCTTTATTAATTACTTCTAAATTGACAAGCCTTACATTGAATAATTGCAGTTTGTCAGGTGCTATTATGAATGATATGATGAGAGAGTGTAGTAGTAAAGGAGTCAAGTTAGAATTATTGCAGCTTAATATAATTGATAATAATCTCAGCAACATTGATGGCTCTTTATTTGTATCATTATTGGGAATTGCTTCTAAACTTCAGTCTCTATCAATGAGTAATGACAGTTCATCATGTAAAGTCACTGGAAGGCCACTATATAATAATTTTCTTGGGTATAAGAATGAGCTTCGTTTAAATAGTAATAATCTACATAAACTTGAAATCAGTGGTAATACTCTAATCAATATTAATGGCTTGACATTGGTAGCTTTATTAATTACTTCTAAATTGAAAAGCCTTACATTGAATAATTGCAGTTTGTCAGGTGCTATTATGAATAATATGATGAGAGAGTGTTGTAGTAAAGGAGTCAAGTTAGATTTAAAGAAGCTTGATATCAGTGATAATGATCTCAGCAATATTGATGGTTCATCATTAGCATCTTTATTGGTTATTGCTCCTACACTGAGTAATCTCAAAGTGAGTAATTGCAGTTTATCAGGTGTCATTGTGAATGATATGATGCGAGAATGTTGTCGTAAAGGAGTCAAGTTAAAATTAAAGGAGATTGATATCAGTGATAATGATCTCAGCAATATTGATGGTTCATCATTAGCATCATTATTGGTTATTGCTCCTACACTGAGGAATCTTAATATTAATAATTGCTGTCTACCAGGTACAGTTTTGAATATGATGAGAGAGAAAATACATAGATCACAAGCTAGAATTATAGAAAATTGATATCAGGTGTAATAATGTCAGCAGTAGCGAGTTTAAATGGGGCCTAGCTGTCCTGGGCCTATTCTGCACGGATCTACCTAAATTTTTGAAAATTTAAAAGAAAAATGGAGAAAAAAGGAAATTATGTTAAAAATGTAAGTCTGATAAACCCACTTACAGCTGGTGCCGCTGCTCAGTGTGGTCGACATCAATGTATTTAACAATGTGAAATCGTTTACTGTTTTCTGATGCACAGTTATAATTTCTCTATTTGATTGTCGAAAGTATTCTCGAGATGTTGCTAAAGTATACTATATAATTAATTGTGATATTTATTGCACCATGGGCCTATAAAGAACCTGGAGAATGTACCAGGCTCTGTTACTCAGCCGAGGAACTGCTTTCTATTAGGGAAGCAACCCATGCATTGCAATGTAAAGGCGCGACATTTAAAGTGCCTAAGGAAATGAGGCCTAGGCTTAGGCCTGGTCTTAGGAAGAGGAGCCAGAGTTCGTAAATGTCTTCGTTCCAGACCTTTTCGACCTTCCCTACCTTCACTCATTATTGGAAATCTCCAATCAATTAATAATACTTGCAGATGAACTCCGAACATGTGTAAAATATCTCAATGATTTTAGATCCGCATGTATCCTCTCGTTTACCGAAACCTGGCTTAGTGGAAAGATATGTGACGCGCATATAGAGATTGACAGATTTAAGCTGTTTAGAGGTGACAGAACTGATGATGTTGGAAAAGATAGAGGTGGTGGACTGATCGTTTATGTCAATAATTTTTACTGTCAACCAAATAATGCTGTATTAAAGAAATTTACCCCAAAACGTCAAAATTCTGGTTGTGTCACTGAGACTGTATTATACTCCAAGGGAATTTTCCCATATCATTATCTTGACTGTGTAAATACCGCACAAAAAACTAAAAAAGCGGCTCTTGAACTTGGTGAAATTCTAAGTGCGGTAGAAGTCTTCTGTCCGGATGCATGCATTATAGTAAATGGAGATTTCAACCATGGTACCTTAAAAGCAGTGTTCACTAAATATAAGCCCCTGGTTAAGCGACTGAAGCCTAGGAAGATAGTTGTGAAGTGTTGGACGCCAGAAAATATTGAACGGTTTGGAAAGGAATGCGACAGATAAGCGGCTACTAAAGTGTATCAAAGTCTACTCATTTCAATAGTAACTGTAATCTGGGGGAACAGTATGTGAATGTACTTAACACATTCTACAATAGGTTTGACAAACATGATTTTACAGCCAAATAAAAGGAGATGAAGGTCACATTACTAAGGCTATGTTCACACACACGGCGTACGGCTGGCTTAAGCCTGGCGTAGCGTACGCCTTTGTGTGTGAACTAGGCAGTGGCATTGTTAAGGCCACTCACTACGCCACGTCCTTGGCGTTATTAACGCTACCTGCAGACAACAGATTAGCTAACGCCACTGAGCTAACTCCAGTGATGCTTGAATGATTTAACCTCATTTCAAGAGATTGACCAAATCACGATTGCAATATATTAACTACTTTGGTCTCTTTTCTGTGCCCTATGTGAATGAAATGGTAAAGGGGTTCTTTTTCTATTGCATTTTACTTAGTTATAATGTATATGATTTGTTGATTGTGTTTTGTAAGATATTTTAACCTATTTCGGCTGTCTATTAAAACCTGCAACACCAACAACTGTTCAATGCTAGTTGAAAAATCAGAAGTAAAATTGTTCATTTAAAATACAATAATCATATCAGTTCACTTCGAACAATTCACAGATTTAAAAGTTTTCATGATGCACTGTTAATTTTACTACAGTTAAGAACCCGTACATTATTTAAAACTGAAAACTATTCGCCCTTTATAGGCCTATATTACTACTAGTTTAACAAACGCTGTTTGTGTGAACACTTCGGAATTTTAATCCGTGGGTTAGCTTACGCCCACGCCAGTCTTATGCTGTGTGTGTGTGAACATAGTATTAGCCTAACTGATAATAATAATATTACTGAACATGATTTGAAAACTGATGAAAATGAAGTTGGGAAATTTTTCTCCCGTCAGAAAGCCTCAAAGGCACCTTATGTTACCCAAAATTCTTAAAACCTGTTCGCATCAGTTGCTGGCATATTTACTACTATTTTTAATCTATGTTTTTCAAGTAATTCCCTGCCTAATGTTTGGAAAAAATCTTTTATAGTCCCTGTTCTGAAAAAGAGTAGTGTACAATGTATGAATGATTTACGACCAATAGCCTTGACGTCAGTTGTAATGGAAGTATGTGAGAGGATTTTCCTTAGTAAGATAAAACCATTTGTATCTCGATACCTTGATCCATTACAATTTGCCTATAGAAGTTCTAGAAACACGGAAGATGCCATCATACTCAAACTTGAAAAAATATATGCCCATCTTGAAGGTGTTGCAAAATTTGGTCATTCTGTAAGAATTATATATTAGGACTTCAGCTCTGCATTCAACACTATTCAACCACATATTTTGATGAAGAAATTGATTGATATGGATCTTCCATGTTCATTTATTCTTTTTGTATTTAAGTTCTGGAGTTATTTCAGATTTAATTTTTACTAATACTGGTGCATCACAGGGTAGAGTGTTAGCTCCCTTCCTCTTTTCAGTATATACTGCCAATTACAGAACAACTGATCAAACTGAAACAGAAGAGATGGTGATTAACTTTCGTGTTAATAAAAGAGTTATGGCTAGGTAAATATTGATCAAGAATTCAAGGGTGGAGAGGGTTTCTAGCTACAAGTATCTGGGGGTTGTTTTTGATAACTGTCTGTCATGGGGGAAAATATTAATCATATCATAAAGAAACTCAATTCATGTATGTATTGTTTACGTAAACTGCACTCATTCAATGTCAGTAGTCAAATTCTGCATATGTTTTATTTATCAGTAATTGGTTCTGTTTGGGGGTATTGCTTATTGGCTTGGGGTGGGAATGTAGGTAAACTAGATAGGCATATAGGATATATAGACTGGTGAGGAGGGCAGGCAGGATGTTTGGGTGTGAGTTGCTCATGGTGGATTTGGCCTACCACTAATGGTTGAGCAAGAAGTGATCACTATTTGCACCCTGTCTCTTATACACATCTAGATGTGTATAAGAGACAGTAAAAGAAGTGGGTCTTTAATTGGAGATGGTTTTCAATTAGAGGGGACTCTATTTGGAGGGAGACCTGTATTTTATAATATAGGCATTGGTCCTTAAGCATGAGAGCATGAGATAGATCCCAATTGCGAGAGTTTCAGGCCAAGTGCGTGAGAAATTGCATGTATGTCGTCAGTACCACCATCCTCTGCACCATCTTCATTCATCATCAGTACTATCATATCATTATCTTTGTCATCATTGTCATCACAATCATCATCTTACTCATCAATCATTATTATCTCCATGTTTACACAACCATCACATGAAAGTAATTGTAGATGAATTTTAAAGTTTTTATGTATGTAGCTAAGCTACAGTAGCTCCGAGAAAAGCCTGTTAGTCAATTAACATAAGTCGCTTAAAATACTGTCCCTAATTTTCCATGAACCTTTAAATTTGGATTATAACCACTGAATTACTCTCTATATGAATGGGATTGTACTCATTATTTTTTTTAAATATAGAGACGTATTTGATTTGTCTATAAATAAGCTAAAACTATTTTCAAATAGCTAATACGAAAATGTTTTATGGAAAACAAGACACAAAATTAATGTAAGACAGAAGCAGTTTTCTGGGTGAAGTTATTTAATGTATGTTCACAAATGCAAATCCCATGTTTTTAAACTTGATGTTACATAATATGGTAGTTAAAAGCAAATAAAGGCAAGGATTGAGTTTAAAATTCTACATTCAACATGTACTGTATACATGGCTTTGCTCCACAATATATGACTGACCTCATAACAATTAGGAAGTGACGGAGGCATAACCTTAGATCTTTGAAATCTTAGAGAATCTTAAAGGAAGAATGCTGTCAACTTTGGGTGATGGCCGTTTTCTTCGGGTGCTCCAAAGCTGTGGAATGAATATGTTTATTTTAGTGACCTCAGATTTTGATGTATTTTTATTAACAAATTATATTGGCAAATTGTAAATGTGTATTTTCTATGAATTTTAACTATTTTCTTTGTATTATTGTAAATGGTGTAATGGCATTATATAGTTTTGGCATAATTATTGTTTATTTCTTTGTAATGCACCTCTGAACAATTTTTATTTGAAGAGGCGCAATATAAATGAATACATTATTATTTAATAATGGTAAACCATTATTAAATAATAATAATGCAAAGAATTATTATTGTACATTATTATTATTAAGCACTGTCTTGTGAAGCATTTAGCATACCGGTAAACAGAAAACAAGTGTATCTCAACTTAAATTAGAAAAATATTATGCAACTGTACAATATTAGTAATTTAAATGTAAATAAAAAGTCATAAAAGGAAGTAAGTATGAAGCGATCATTTTAAACAGCTAGTAATATTTTACTATTTTATACATTTACAATAATGATGCCCAGTGAAATATTATTTACAATGTATGGTGGTATAGTTCTGCAATTTTTAGTAACGTAAACAAGTCATCTAGTCTCTTAAAGCCAGGCACTCGCTGTGCATGTCAGCTGTCGACCGATGTAATTCCATAGAGAACGTAACTCAACAATCGTTCAGACTTCTGCAGACGGTATAGTGCATGGAGCGGAGTTGGATTCAGCAGCCGAGTAGTGCAATGAGTGCCCAGCAAAATTTTATTCTAGTCTTAAATAATTTGATTAAATTATTGGTAATGATTTTAATTGTAATAATATTTTATATATAGTTTATAAGTGCTTTGCAAGTATTTTTTATATTTCTGTTGCATTTGTTATTGGAGACTCCCTGCCGAGTAATTTTGTAAATTTGAAATGGTGAAATAAATTATACATGATAAACACACTGAGGTTTTATATGTTGTATGCAGGTTGAAAGTACAGCAATGGTTTCATATACCAAATATTAAATTGAAATCGTTCAATCAAGGTAATTCAACAAAAGGACGCACATCTCGGGACATCAAAGGTTATAACTCTGGCATCGACATTCTAGGCGCACGTGCGTCCCTACACGCTGAATGTCAAAAACTATAGCAACCAGACCATAAACCGTCAGCGTACGTGACGATTTACCCATGCGCGTGTTAGTTGCCATGTTAGTCGCGCGTCGTGCGGTGATTACAAAGGCCTAATGATATTTTGCACTAACATTAGACTGAAATATATTCATTTCAACATTAATTTTACCAAAATTGTGGTGAATTGTCGTTCATG